GACCTGATGGATAAATAAGTTGAGAGAAAAGAAGAACGGGTTCTGGAAACCTGAGACTGGAGTAACAGAGAGGAAGACCAGGGGACAAGGGTCAGGAAGGGCAGCAGTGGAGACAGCGAGAGGCGCCCACGGCCGTTCTTACTCTTGTTTGTGACAACAGATGGGACATAAAATATTCAGAAGCCAAGGGCATCATCTCTTTTGAGAAATTTCTAATCAGCTTAAAAGGGCACTTATGATGTCTTCAGCCTATCCTATCAGCTTACAAGGCCCAAGAGAATCCGAGCTATTAGCTATAAAAATAAACCCCAGCCAGCAGAGGCCTATACTGGGGCCTTTTTTCTAGAGATCCAGAGTAGCTGATGCCTTTTTGTGAACTGCTGTCCTAGGAGCTGTGAGTGGCACTGAAACCCTCTGCTTTCTTGGGAATCTTCCCCATAGTGCTATCCAGACTGTCCGCATTTCCCAGACAGCCTAGTAACTATTATGGGCAAGCTGGTGTGACATGCAGACCATATTTATACAAGTCACTGTCCACACTACAGTGATTTCATACAGTACAAGGATCAGTGCACTGTCCATAATCTGATGTGGTCTCTCAGGGGACAGGGTATTTGAAAGTCTCAGCAAGCCTTTCTAAACCACTCCTTCCTCTTTTGAAGGTAAGATTTTAGAGGAATGCTCTGGTCACTTCTGGGTAGCCCAAGGCCACATCCTTTTCACAGGCCACAGTCTCTCAGTCCTAACTCTGTCATCCTCCCCAGGACTCCATCTGCCAACACCTGAATGCCATTCTCCCTCTCTCCTCAGCCCTCACAGTGGTTTGCATCCAGGTGTCCCCCGCTTCACACCTCTCAGTCCCTCTCATTCCCACCTTCCCACTGTTTCCTTAACTGGAGGCCTCGCTCAGGGATGGCGCCCCAGCAGGGAGTGAGGATGGCACTGGAACTCCTACAAGCCAGGTGACATCTGGGATATGTTTTTCTGTTGCATCAACCAAAGGTGTTCATTTACTTGGTGTGACACTTTTTGGCTTGTTTAAACTCCCTTGTTGAATGGATTTTTCCACTGCCTGTGCTTCTGGCCTTCCTCCCCTCTTTTGTATATACCATGCCGTAACCAGAGGGTGACACTGTCCCTTTGACAATAAGGCTACCCTATGGCAGGTTAGGAGTGAGGAGAGCATGTCAGTGAGGCCACTGAGGTGCTCATCTGCACAGCAGGAAAATGCCATGTTCTCTGGAACTCGGGGGACTAGAGTTAAGTTAATTTTGTGATACAACAGATAAGAAGCCTTTGACATTCAGGAAGAAAGTCACTATATAAGTACCAACTGTTATTTCTTTCTTCTGTCCCTTTCACACGACAGCCCATCTATAGAATTAGACATTTTCTTGCTCCTGGCTTGTGGCAGTTTTCTGCTTAGTGGGTTATTATCTCTCTGACGGATATGTCTGTCAGTGTGCTGTGCTCTCAGCTCTTCCTCTTCACAGACACTTCCTGGGACCTCAGGCTCTGCTGAGAGAAATGGTGTGTGACCCAAGGGCTGCAGCTGACTGACACAGGTGTGCCCTTGGCTTGCAGTGGCCCATCATCGGCTGGCCAGTGAGCAGCCATATTCTCTCCCTTTAAAGTTTGAGCTGAAGTAGAACGAAAGCAGTGGGCTAGAAAAGGGCAATAAAGGTGAGAGATTATGTAGATATGGGGCTTGGCAACAGCAATTCCTGTCCACGTGCCCTCTGATAATTAAGCAGAGAAAGCCACTCTGCAGAAAGAAGTCAGAAGGTAGAGCACTTTAATCAGGGGCAGGAGAAATGAGAAGTCATCTGTGGCCCCAGAGAAAGAGGAGATGGACAGAGTAACATCTGGAAACTGGGCTCTGCTTCCTTGCTGGGTTCACAGAATTCCCCTGTACACAGTTCAGCCCTTTCAAACGTGAGCTAATTTGAGTAGGCTTCTGTTTCATGAACCAAATGGCATGTAACTCAGACAGGCTTCAAAGACCTAGGCTTTTTTGAAAAGTAAATTAATAATAATAGCATTTAATGACTACTTTGTGCTCTCTGTAGGCACATAAAGTATATTATATTTTAAAAATTTACTCCCCCTAGAATCCTATGCAGCTAGTACATGTTTCTCACTTATACATGAGGAAATTGAGGCATGGAATGGTAAAATAACTTGTTCCAGGTCACAAAGCTACAGAAAAAAAGAACAGGAATTCCACCCAGGGCTGGCTGATTCCAAAGCCAGCACCTTTGCACCACACTGCTCTGCCTTTGTTCAGACAGTGCCTACAGCTCCTCCTAGACACTATCTGCACAGGGGGAGGACAGACAGCAAGCAGACTGCAAGATGGGCCTGGCTGCCCTTGAGACTTGTTTGTAAGTCCTCCGGTGCTCCCTGTTTCCTGTCTCTGCACCCCTTCTGCAGGTATTCTGCTGGTAGGACCACTGCCTGGTGGTATTGCCACCAGGAGAGGAACGGCTCTTGAGGGGCTGGAGGCTGGCTGGAGGCTGGTGTTGGAGAAGGCAGCAGGACCCATTTGGCTGGCTGTCCAAGGCAGCATGCAAAAGGGTTGCCTTCTCCATGTTGCATCAAAATCTTGAGGCAGCTCAGTGGAATGAACAGAAAGCTGAGTTCGAAACCTGTCTCTGACTTTGGGGCAGTCAATTCTGGGCCTAGGTTTCCTTATTTGTAAAATGCTGGAGGACTAAATGAGGTCAGTGTTTCCCAAAGGGGAACCTTTAACGCTCATGGGGCACGAAATGATTTCAGTGCATGGGAACAGCCTTAACTAGCCTTGATTCATATCATAACAACATTATTCCTGTTTCAGTTCTCCTTAAGTTCTCCTAGTTAAGGCAAAGAGAAAATCTCAGATTGGCTGTTGGCGTGTTTTAAATTACTTTCTGTTACTTGGTAATTTGCCTTTAAAACTTTTTAAAAGTTGCTAAGAGTAATATTTTAACAATTCTCACCACACACAAAAAAATTGTAACTATGTGAGGTGATGGATGTGTAAACCTTACTGTGGTAATCATTTTGCAATATATACATATATAAAAATCACTACATTGTACACCTTAAACTTACACAATGTTATTTGTCAATTAAATTTCAAAAAATGGAAAAAGTTTATTTATTTATTACATAGTAAAACCTTTAAATTTTTTGCATTGTATTTATTTTTACTATGACCTTTCATTCATAGCAAGTGATGATGGGTTTTTTTTATTTTAATAATATTACTTTTCCTTTTGAAATAAGTTGAAGTAAAAAATAGATACCTGACTACCAATGATAGCTACTGTTTATTGAGTGGCTACTAGGCCCTGTGTACTTCATGTATGTTATTTCTAATTCTATCAACAATTCTAAGACAAGAATCATTATCTCTATTTTTTGGTTGGGGTGACTGAGGACCAAATGAGCTAAGTAAGTGCCTAGTGAGTGATTGAACAAGAATTTGAAACAAATCTGTCTCGCTCTGAAGTCCATGTTCTTTCCTCTGTCTTATTCTGCTTCCTTTCCCCTGGAATCTAACATCTGAATCCACACTAGGGAAACTTTCCAAGCTGGCCGCATGCAGTGGCCTTAGCTCCACCTCTCGCCCCAGTGATCTGTCTGCCGTGGGATGCTCTCTCCTTTCTGAGTTCCTCTCCTGGTTTACCTTCATCCAGCTTCTCCTCTTCCCTTCCTCATCACATCTTCTGTCGAAATCTCTGTCGTCATCTCCTTATGTGTTCTATCTTTTGCCTTGCATTCCTGCTCTAGACCTCTGAAAAGCAACATCTGTTCCAATTACATTGGAGTCACAGCACGAGATTTGCTTTTATGAATAAATTAAGTACAGTTACTGGTTGCATTTTGTAAGTGAGGAATCTGAGGCTCTCAGAAATACTGTCATTTACCTGAGTAAATAAGGTGAGTAGCTGAGGCATAAAGACATGAACCCAAGCCCTTCGGCTCAGAGCAAGATGGAAGGGGCCCTGGCGCTCCAGTGACTTGGTGTGTGTGGGCTGGGGTAGGGGGTTGTGTGGTGTGTTTCCTATAAGGAAAAGCACAGGATGGAGGGCATGGGATTGGGGGTTGGAGAAAAAAACAAGACAGCTCTAGTACAAGAAAACAGCCACCTTGGAGATGTGGTGGCAGGCTGGGTCCAAGGATGGAAAATGTCAGTATGGGACTCTCAGGGGGAGGTAGAGGGGCTTTAGGAAGTAGGCAAATTACACTGAGTTGCAAGCATTCTATTTTTTGCCTAGTAACTCCTTTATGGTAATCTCCAGGCTTCAGCGAGGTCAGAGGTGACAGGGGCAAGTGTGGGCTCCTGGCACAGTTCCTCGCCAAGGCCTGAGAGGCGGCACTGAGGGCTTAGAGCCCAGAGGAACCGGTGGGTCTTTCCAGGGAGCAAGGGGCCGAGCAGCAGTGAGAACTAGTGCAGAGTGGACTGAGTGGGAAGGTCCTGGGATCGTATCCCTTTCCCCCAAATGTAAGAGAGGGAGCAGCCTCAGGTGAGGATGGGAGACGGTGGCCGTCAGGGAGGTCTCCTGTGCCCTTCTGTTCTGTGCCGCTGGTACTGACACACACAGACACAAGTAATAAGCGAGGACTTGGACGATGAGCTGCCTTGGAACTGGGCCACCCTCCACTGCTGGTCCCCAAGTCCTAACTGGAGAGGACAGAGCCCCCCCAAGTTTGGGTGAGTTCATCCACGTGGTACAGCAGCAGAGTTTTTAGAGTCAAAATCATCTGAGATTCAACTGCTGAAGCCACATTTAACTTCTCTGGATCTTGGTTTCCCTATTTGTAAAATGGAAATAAAATACGGGCCTCACAGGTTACTGTGAAAATTAACCACGTAGCAACGGAAGGCTCTGGCACAGGGCTTGCACGGGGCAGGGACTCACTGAGGCCCCCTCACTAGCTTCCTGGGCCCTGCCCCCAACCCCTCCCCCAAACTAGAACCCAATATCCCGGGGATCCAGATCTGATCCTACCTTTGGTCAGGGAGTGAATCCCCAGCTTCACTTGGGAAAAGTTTCCACTTCCAATTTCCCCTCGGATTCGGTAGAAGCCGATCCGTTTCCCCAGCGTGATCTCTCTCACCACCTTCTCATCTTGGGACATGTCCTGGGTCAGCTTCTCAAAGGGTGTCAGCTGGCGACGCTGTCCGTCTTCGTCCTCCTTGCTGCACTCTGTCTGGCAGCCACTTCCCACGCTCTCCCGCCGCTCCCGCCTGGCATAGTGGGGGTTCACCAGGCCGCCTCCATTAACGTACACTGCAGTCATCTTTTTTTTCATGTCTTTTTCTCTTTTTCATCTTAGTTTTTTGGTTCTGTGTTTGGTTTGGTGGTGTGGTGTTGTTTTGTTTTTTGGTTGTTTGTTTTTAGTTTTGTCTTTTTTTTGTCTTTTCTTTGAGCTGGCCCCAGACTCCTTGGGAAGCAGCGTCCTTCGCGGCTGCGGTCAGAGGAGGGCAGAGGCAAAGGGGCCCCGTGTCTACCCAGCCAGGCCCAAGGCTGCCCGCCTCACCGGAGACATCTCACACCTTCTTTCACGTTGAACCTCCAAGCTCTGACTGTACAATCAGGCACCCTTCCAGTTACCATAGCTGCTTCTCTGGCAGGCTCCCGGAGCTTTCTGGATGGCTGCGCAGTAGGTGGCTGTGTCCCGGGACAAAGGCTCCAGTTGGCTATTTTCTTTGATGGCCAGAGAATCTGTTCCTCTGGTGTGTAAAAGCCCCCCTGAGGCCCCCAGGCCCCTGATGGTGGCGCTCATCTCTGACCTTCTTCATCTCGCACTCTCTTGCTCAGGGCCCCAGAGACCCGATAATCTAGACCCCAGAAAAAAAGAAACTTGAAAACCATCCTCTGGTAACATGGGCAGCCGGAGGATTACAGCCCTGCAATGTCACTTAGCCGGCCTTTATTTAGATGAGCCTCCCTCTAAGCCGTGGGCTGTCTCAAAAATTGTCAGGTGCTGGTTCATCCTAAGAACAAAGAGTAAGAAAATTTATTAGCCCATGCTACTGTACAGGATTTATAAAAACATGAAACTGCTTCATAAGCATTGCTCTGAAAGCACTGTGCAAATTTCATTTATGACTCAGAACTGTAGTAAATGCTTTATTACATATGATTTAATAAGAAAATGCACATATACACATTACTCAATCTACATTTTACAAAAGCCCTCACAGCCTATAAATATTTCTAACAATTTTTCTATTTCTTGATGATTAGGAAAATATTCCATGTTCCTATAAATATCAGTTTTCAAAGGTTCTTACATTGATTCAAATAACAATGTGTTACACTTCCTTTACACTGATGTTCTTCTATGACTTTTCCTATCCTGGTTGCTCTCACTCTTTTGTTCTGTGTCATTCTATGACAAAGGCTAATTTTTCTGCAGGCTTATTTTCTGGATATTTCTGATCAAGCAAGAGCCTCCAAGCCCAGCAGCTCATTTTGAAGGTATAGAAACAGTGGGTAATGTTTCCAGAAGGTAAAAGTCTGTGGTGTCATCAGCAATAAGGAATACTGTCCAGCTAGAAAGTCTTCATGACTTTTTCCTGCACCCTGCAGTCAGAAATAATTACTTCCCCTCTGAATCCCTACAGCCCTTTGTGCATTTTCCAAAATGTCTCATGTCCATGAAGGTGGCAAGTGGGTCTGACTCATCTGTGTGTCCTGCTTGCCTCCTCTCTCCCTCAGCATGGAGCATGATGTCCTACACGGAGAAAGTGTCCTCTTCTGCATGTGGGTTGAATTTGATGTTTGGACTTAGGCATTCCAAACCAGAAACCTGAGTGAAAATGTGAGAGATTGCTTGGAAATGTGAGTTTCCAAATCTCTTTAATGAAATCACA